GGGATTACTATTATGTCACTTACCTTCAGGTGAACACTTGCTGTAGTATTCACGTAGCTGGACTATTCAACCCCAAAATCCCCTTTGAAGGTCTGTTCTTAAAGACCACCAGTGTTTTTTGTTTTTAGTTCAGGGCACCAAGAAAAACAAAACGTGAAGCACAAGATTTTATATTAAGTACTTGTAGATGGGTGAAATTCCGGGAAGGAAAGTGTGAAAGAGAAAGTGAAATAAGGAAAAAGTGAACCCTGCTCCCAGGCATCTCCAAGAGTCCACGTGAAACGACTGCCTCTCATAATCACCCATCACATGGGAGGAAGTATTAGCAAAGCTGCCTTCTTTGGGTCTCTTGCCTTTCATTGGTTAAGGTTTACCCCAACCCCAGACCTAAATTCCCCCACACTCTAACTGTATTACACACCCTCGCCAGATGGTTTCTTGGGAAATCAGAGTCTCTGCAGTCCCCTTGACCAATTTTCGGGTGCTTCATTTTCCCCTCCTAAATAGTGCTACACGTGGGGACCCTTCAATTGTGGGATCAGATGGCAGCAATGACTTTATAACTGCAGCGATGACTTTATAAGTCTAGGGTACCTCATAGGGCTTCTGTAAGGACTCAAGTTAAGTAATATCCAGTGCCTGGCATTTAGTTAGCTGTTATTTGAAATAGTAATTAAGTGAAGTTTTGTGTGTGATTGTTATGTGATCTGACTGGTCTGAGCATTTCTCCCACCCCTTCTAACCCTTTGTTAAGCACCACTGGACTCAGTCAGCACTCTGATGCTGAGCCAGACACATGTGAGTGCTTCCATGTTGCTGTGCGCTGTGGTCCACAGCAGCAGGGGACAGTTAAACAGCCAAGTGACTGCAGCAGATTCACAGTAGTGGTGGCCACCAACCAGGCAGTATCCAGCTATGCCATGGAGCCATTTGGCCATTATATAAAAATATGACTTACCGATGTAAGAAAATAAAAGTTTAATAATAAAAAAGGAAAAAATATGTCTTACGATAATGGTCAAAACAACTTAGAAGTTCCTTCAAACTAACTTGTCTCTGAAATTCAGTAAGCAAATAAATTGGTGTGGCTTTTGTTCTACAATTATAGCCATGTAGCTGAAGGATAACTTGCTCATCACAGAATCATAGATTTGCTTCTGAAACAATGAATTCAGGAACTCTCAGATGTCAAATATCTGTAGGATAATATTTTCTTTGGGAAATTTGCTACATCATCCTTTGTTTGTTTATCATAAACATCTTTATTTAACAAATAATTCAAATCTTTGCCTGTCACCATGGCAAAGAGGGCTCTCTTCAATTTGTCTTTATGAGGCACTCATTGCCACAGACATATTTACTTCCCTTGAGTGAACAACAGCTCTTGACAAGTGGAAATATAATGCCAGCGAAGAATTTGCTGATCTATATGTTACAAATGGCTTCAATATTCTGTTTTGATTCCTGCTTAAAATATATGGGGAAGATTTTTATAGTCAATGTAAATGTATGTGCTGATGAGTGTGACAGATAGACATGAGCTTTGAGACAGTGAAAAATGAATTTGGTTCCTTCAAAATGTCTTTTACCTTTCCGGAGGCAAGAGCTGAATTTAAAAAAAAAAAAAAAAGGAACTGCAGAAAAGGAAAATAAAGACTGATAGAAGTTATTCAATTTAATGAAAAACATAATTTATACCGCAGGTAGTTTCTAATTTCCTAAATCACACTTCACTGATGAGAGCTGTTTATCATTGTCCAGATTTTGTGTTGAAACCATTTGCTAGCCTAGTTTCTCCTGTTTGCAAATGTATATCACCTCCATTATCTGAGAATAGGTTTGGCTCCATCAGTTCTGATTTCTGGTGTAGTACCTTACATGTCACATGGGGCTTCTGTCTGGACACCTTAGGCCACCCTCAGCAACTGCAGCGGACCTACCCCAGCCCTGGCCCCACCCTTCTGGGCCTATCTCTGGTTCCAGGAGTCAAATCAGACTTGGAGTCTGGTGCCTGACAGACTTGGAGTCTGCACCTGACATGGAGTCAGGTGCCACTGAAGTTGCAGAGAATTATAAGAAATACATAGTAGAGTTATTAGAAATATATTGAACTTTAAGTTGGGAGAAATAAAAGAAAAAGAAAGTTAGGGAGCCAAGGAACATTTCTTAAGAATCTCTATGTTCCAAGTGCATTAAAGTTAGGACGCTTAATGTTGACAACAATCCTCTACCTGAATCCTTGAATTCCTCAAAATCCACCGGCACCAGACCACATGTAGGGTCGACTTTTTGCTGACTTGAGGGCAAAATTGTTGAGGTTGCAGAAAGGTAAGCAGCCTCAGGTAAATGTCCCTTTGCCCCTTTCTGCTTCTGAACGTTCTCAATGGACTTCTCTTCACAAAGAGCTCTTACTCAGCATCATTTTGCATCAATTTTTTTCTTTTGCCTTCCTGTTTTCTACCTGCTACCTGTGACTGCACCCACCCAGTGCGTGTGCATCCACACACACGCCTGATATAACAGTAAAAAGTAATAGTATTGTTACATACTAATAATAACAGTATTGATTAAAAGCTTGCTTTGTAGCAGGCAATTTAAGTGCTGTATGTATGTTTTTTTCATTTAGTGTACCCTTCCTTCCTGCCTTCTTTCCTTCCTTTTTCCTTCCTTCTTTCCCTCCTCTTCTCTCCCTCCCTCTCCCTTCCCCCTTCCTTCCTTCCAACTTTTAATAACAGCTGTAGGTTTATTGTTTCCAGGTCATCATGAAGTGAACTTTAAACCTGGCCTGTAGATGGACTTACTTGACTTGCCCAGCCCTGGGCAGCCTCCCCCTGCCCACCCCTCCCATCTTGGACAGAAGGGATGCTAGAAGGGGCACTAGTAAGGCATTTAGTAGACCTTTTTCTACCTTCATTTTGCCCCAGGTATACAGGTCCATGTCCTTGGTGCTTCTTCTTTTTATTCATCCAACAAATATTAAACACTATTTTTGTGTGTGGCGCAATGCTAGCTGCTGACTTTGGTAACAAAACAGACCTGGTCTCTGCCGTCATGAGCAATGACTCAAGAGCTGATAAAAGTAACTTGTTAATTAAAGACAATTCTCTCTCTGAGGTAACCACCAGCTTCTAAAACAACTATTTCCCTACTTGCTGAAATAGAAGACAACAATAAGACAAATACAAAATGAAACAAAAATACAAAGAATGTCACACAGCAGACCATGACTGGAAAAAGTAGTTCAGAAATAGGTTTAGAAGCTTATGAGGTCACTCGTTAACACGTTAATCACTCGTTAAACTGGTGGGCTTTGAGGCACTGGGTTGGAGCAAACGGTAAAGGAAGGGAGAGAGGGAGAAAGGCAGGCAGGCAGGCAGGGCATGCTGGAATATAATGGAATAGACATAGTAATGAAAAGCACCGCCTGGGGAGTCAGACCCCAGGCTCAAATCTCAGCCCTGTCATTGACCAGGTGACTCTAGGAAGCAATTCTCTCTCTAAGCCGATCTTCCCTACTTTGAAAAACTGAGCTAACAGTCCCTTCCTCAAAGGGTTATATGAATTTAATGGGAAAGAAAAAACAAACATATAATCTACTTAAGCAATGCCAGAAGTGTGATAAGTGCCAAGCAAATGTCCAGGTGAAAAGAAGCAAAAACTCTGCATTTAAGTCCTCTTCAATTTAACTACTCGTGAAAAAGATTATCTTTGGAGAAAGTTACCATTTACACAATTTTTTTTCATATACACTGATTCAAAATTTCTAGTAATTTTTAAGGTAGTTGTGATTATCTCACCTTCATTATGCAGAAGCAGAAATGAAGTTTCAGAGAGATTCAGAACTTCCCAAGGCTTGAAAAGGGCTCCCCCAGGACTCTCAATTCACATCTTCTGACTCCTGGTCTTTTTATTCCTGTCTTAAAAGGCAGTTACACCCCTAGAGGTGACAGATAGCCTTTTCAATGCTTGACAACTAATAGCTGAGCCAAGAGTTTCACCTAGAGTATATTAGGCATTTAAGGAGTCACAAGGGCCTCCCCGGTGGCGCAGCTGTTGAGCTCTAGGTTGTGAAGCTGCCCGCAGCCTCTGCAGCGTCGGTTTGATCCCCGGCCGCCGGGCAAGGGTCCCACATGGCACGCAGACCTCTCCTGCTGCTCCCCTCAGCAGTATATTTTGTCAGTCTGCCTGCTCTGCTCTCCCCTCTGGCTCTAGTGAATTCTCTCACCCTCCCGGGCTTCTGACTGTACCCAGTGCTTGTATAAATAAATAAATAAATCTTTAAAAAAAAAAAAAAAAAAGGAGTCACAAGTAGGAGTAAAACACAAACTTTAACTTGGACCTTTAAAAAAAACTGGTGAAACGTAAGTCAATATAAATGTCCATTAATAGGGAAACAGGCACATAATTTATGGCATGTCCTTGCAAAGAATATATATATCAAATACAATGAAAGAGGTAGATCTATATGTAGTGATAGCCCAGAGAGACATTTATACAGACTAAGCACAAACTGCTGGCTGTGGAACAATATGCACAAGAGAGACTTTATGACTTGGTGTTTAAAAAAACAAGTTCTATTCATTAGTGACCCAGCCTGCCTCTCTTCCTTCCTCATCCCCATGGCAGCCTCTCCACACAGTTACTCCCCAACCCCAACATAGCTCTCTTACACAACATCTTTTTCTCTTGATTCTCTTTGCCACTCTTTCCCCGGTCCACTCCTTGCCTTAAGCTCCGCTCCTCTCTTGCCCTGGGATTTCTATACCAGGGCTGGGAGACAAGTGTTAGTGCATGCATCCAGGCACCAGCCCACCCAGATGCCCTCAGCATGTTTGCCCCACCCCTAGGATAGAGCCCAAAAGCCATTGTGCAAGGTTCTCGCCTCCCAGGATTGACCTGCGCCAGCACTCAACCTGCCCAGTCCACTTCTGCACTTGTCTCTTGCTTGTCTGGTTGCTTCTCTTGCATCCAGAAGTCCACATTTGCCGAGGCTGCATTTAGTTCCGACTTCTCCTGTTAGTTCCTCCAGTTCTTGAGACTGTCCTGCAGGTGATGGTGTTAAGACTGTCTTGCTTCCTGCTGTTACAGCAGTTCTGAATATTTCATATATATAGAATTTTCACACAATAATCACACAACACTGAGCCTTCTTTGACTCCCTGTGACAGATTTCTCTTAGTTTTTTCACCTCAGTACACATTACAAACAAATCACATTTATGGCACATTGCATCACATCGATTTTAAGATAGCTAAGAGCATCTTACTGTGATATGGTTATATTTAATCTTTCAAATCTAAGCTTAGAGTACATCAGGAATTTCTTGTTTGGTTCAACCAAAGAATGGAAAGACAAGTTAAGTTAAGTTTCATTATTGGCATGCAGTAAGACGCAGTGAAATTTTCACACTCACTGTTAAAGACCATGGTGAATTAGTAGAGTGGGAACTCTAAGTACATGAACCCCTTTGCTAGCAAAGAGTCCTCAAATAGGAGTGTTAAAAAAATGAACCAACCAAGGGGCAGGACTTATTATAGAAGTGACAGCAGTTGTCTAAGGCGTTGGCACTAAATTCTTTATCTGCCCAGGGACCAGAAAAAGAAGGGTTGTTGGTGCCATTCAGAAAAGTACTGAAATGAAAAGCCAAACAGATAACATAATTAGATTAAAAAAACAACAGTGCAACAAGTTCTACCAAGCAATTCAAAAAAGAAATCAAAAACCTATGAATGGATCCAATTGCAATAAGCAAATAAATACAAGAGAATGAAGTGTACTTTCACATTCATGCCCCAAATAACACCGGCAAGAAACCCCATACAATGTGTCTGCTTCTAGGCCCATTTTTAATCATAGTTTTGGGAATTTTCTTTCCAAACATCACTGAGGCAAAATTTACACCTTGTAATGTGACTGAGAATTTAATTTAGTCTTAAAAATGAGATATTTTAAGGCTACGTCCTGCTGAGATGGAGAATTAGTTCAGGCTTATATACTTAGTTATTGTTTCATAAAAAATTATTGAGGTATGACTGACAAAATTGTAATATATTTATACTGTACAACATGATGATTTGGTATACTTATACATTGTGAAAGGATTCCCCAAAGTGGGCTAATTATTGGCATGTTGTAGAGAGACACAATGAAAATTTCATACTAAGTTTAAAGATCATGGTGAGTTAGCTAGAGTGGAGGGATATGAGTACATGAACACCTTTGCCAACAAAAAGCCCTTAAGGAATGTTAAAGAAATGAATCAGCCATAGGGCAGACAACACTGGTGTAGAATTCACAGCACTTACTAAGGACCATGACACTGAATTCTTCATCTTCCCAAGGACCAGAAGAAGAAGGAATGTTAACACATTCATCACCTTACATATCAAATTGTTTGGTGAGTACACAAGTGCTGCTCTCAATAAGTTTTGTAATTAATAACGTTCAGATCTTTCACCTTCAGGTTATCAGCTACTAAGTTAAAAAATTGATATTCAGTTGTTACATTTTTCCTAGTTATTTTATTCTTTTTGATGATGTTATAAATGGGATTGTTAATTTCTTTTCCCAAAAGTTTGTTTTTAGTGCATAGAAATGCAGTTCTTTTTTTGTAGAGACTTTAGGGTTTCTATATATAAGAGCGTGTCATCTGCAGAGACAATTTTTTTTTTCTTTTCTGATATGGGTGCCTTTTATTTCTTTCATACCTAACTGCTATGCCTATGACTTCCAGTACTATGTTGAGTAAACGTGGTCAGACTTCCTTGCCTTATTCCTGATATTAGATGAAATATTTTACTTCAGTTTTATACGTATGTGGTCAGAAAACATACTAAATATGATTTCAATCTTCTTGTTTGTATTAATAATCGGTTTTGTGGTCTAATATAAGATCTGTCAGATAATTTTCATGTACACTCAAGAAGAATGTGCATTCTGCTGCTGCTGGATGAATGGTTCGATATGTCTGTTAGAGCCACCTTATCCAACATACAGTTTAAGTCCAGTGTTTCCTTGTTGACCTCCCTGCTGAAAGATCCATTATCCATTGTTTAATGTAGAGTAAAAAGTATTCTATTATTATATTGCTGTCTTTTTTCCTCTCAGATCTGAGAGAAAAATTAATATTTAGTATTTATAATTATTAATGTATTCAGGTGCTCTATGTTGGGTGCATAATTATTAACAATGGTGACCTCTTGATTAATTGACCTCTTTATTATACAATAACCTTATCAGTTGTTAAAAGTTTTTGACTTAAAGTATATTTTGTCTGATGTAAATATAACTATTTTTGCTTGTGTTAGTTTCCATTTCCATGAAATATGTTTTCCCATGCTTCACTTTCAGACCCTGTGTTCTTAAAGCTAAAGTAAATCTCTTATTAACAGCATATAGTCAGTCTTTTTTTTAAAAAAAAAAAAACTCATTCAGTTGCTTTATGTTTTATGATGGGAGAATTTAATCCATTACATTTAAAGTAATTATTGAATAAATAATTTATTTTTATACAAGAACTGGGGCATAGGCCAGAGGTGTGGGGTGGTGAGAGGATTCACCAAACACAGAGTAGGGAGCAGAACAGGCAGAGCTATTGAAATACACTGCTGAGAGGAGCAGCGAGCCAAGACAGGAGGAGATGTCTGCTGCACCATGTGGGTTATCTTCCTGGCCAGGGTTCGAACTCATGCCAGAGTGGCTGGTGATAGTTTCATAGTGCTGAGACTGTAATGCCTGAGCCACCAGGGAGACCCTGAAGTAATTACTGATAGAACTTACTACTGCCATCTTGTTAATTCTTTTCTGGTTATTGTGTAGTTTCTTTGTTTTCTTCTTCCTCTTGCTCTCTTCCTTGGTGGTTTGATAATTTACTGTAGTATTATGCTTTGATTTCTTTCCCTTTCTCTTTTCAATCTATGGATTTTTGTTTTGTGTCTAACTTGAGGTATATATAAAAAACACCAAATAGTTATTGTAGTCTATTTTAAGCTTATAATAATTTCTTCTCCAACCCTTCACTTCTTCATACCCCATCAAAATAAGGATAATCTGTCACTTGTCCATATGATAGCTAATTACTCTGGATACATCTAATAAGAAAGAAGAACACAGATATAACCACCATAAATAGCCATCTCCATTCTTACACAATTTATTTAGCATCCACATGATTACCCTCAAGACTTCATTTCTACTCACTCCCAGAAGGCTCCTGAATGGAGAATAGGGCATAAAGGAGAAAACAGGGATCCTGGTGTTCACTTACCTTTCAAAGAGTTCTTTGCAGCATATGTAGCTCTCATAGGTTCTGTTGGTGAAAGTTGTATTCAAGAAGGAGATACAGTCAGTTTCTGCTCCTCTAGGGACATAGAGGATTCCTGGATAAAAAAGACAGAAATACGTAGCAAGGATTTTACATAAATTCATTAATGCATTGGGTGTGAATTGAGAAAACAATAAATTAGGTGCCTTTTCTATGCATCTGTGGTATAGATGGTTAAATCAGTATTCTGAGAGAAATACTGTCAGAACTTAGGAGAGTGCCATTGGCCCAAAACACTGAGCTGAGGCACTTACCTGCCACACAGGAGCTGATAAGGGACACACAAGCCCCTGTCAGCAGGGCACTGACCACAACCTTGGACAGGTCACTCTTCCTGTGGGGTACCATTGACGCTGCAGAAAACAAAACAAAACATTTTGATCTCTTCTCGATCTGGCAACAGGCATATCCCCTGAGCCCCTATTTATAAAATTGCTCAAGGGAAAACAAGCAGATGAATAGCATCTTAAAAGCAGTCACCAGAGACTGGCCCATGTTATCCTATGAAGCGTTTCATTGGGTCGGGGAGAGGGTGTCACTCTGTCAGACATTCGTCAGGTCAAGAATTATGTTCTGACCCCAACTTCAGTGACTCTCTGAACATTCTCATAGATAATTATGGATCAAGCAAAGCTCTGATTTGCTCCAGACATACAAATGCCTGGTCATTCCCTGCTGAGTTCTTCACTCTTAAGCCTAGATCAGAATTAGTTGGATTTTTTTTTCATTTTCTTTTCTTTTTTCTTAAATTAAGACATCATTGGTTTACAATGCTATATGATGAATAGAGTATATAATCACACCCTTCAAATATTTGTTACCAACCACACCCACCACACAGCCCCCTACCATAGCACAGTGTCTCTCCCCATTCTGCTCTCCCCTCTCTCCCTCCCACTCTGGTAGCCTCAATTCTACAGTCAGATTTCTAGGGTTTGTTCTTGGTCTGGTTTTATCTGACCCTTTGTTTTGTTTCTCTATCTTCCACATGCAAGTGACCCTTAGATGAACTATCTTCAGTCAGAGGGATAAGAAGGCTTAAGCGTACGCGTTAGTCACTTGATGCCTGTCCCCCTACTTTTGTCTTTTAATTCCTTGTGCAACTCCTACTTCCGTGACAACTAGTGAGCAGCCTAATTTGAGAAAGTACCCTCAGTATTAAATAAAAAATATTTGCCTATATCTCATTATGCCCACTTAATGGCAAAATAAAAACCATTTCATTATAATATATTCTTTCTCACAGGGAAATTAAAAATAAAATTCTTTGGAAATTCTTATGATCACACTGAGCAAAAGCAACAAATACATAAAGCAGAGAGGTAGTGATGTGAAATATTGCATTAAAAGCTGCAAGTCACCAGGTGTGGGAAAAATAAGTGCTGCAGAGGCTCATTTAGATAACTGAAGATATTGCTGAATCGGATGATGATTAGGGGAAATAATATGAAGAAGTGTAGCAGTCCCTGAGGGCAGGGGTAGGGAGAATGACTAGCAGATTCGGACTAGCAAATTCTTTTGGACCTTCAATTGAAATGAAAGTAAGTGAAGTAGAAATTGGGTTCCATGCTTAGCCTGGTAATTGGACTTCATATTAACTGCTCCTGAGATGGCCTGTGTTAATCAACTTCTCTGTCTGGCCTCAGCTTGTACTGAAACACCAGGAATGCCCATGTCAGAAGCTGGGACCTGGCTGACGTAATGGGGAGCTGAGAAAATGAACTCACTCAAGCCTCCCAGTGTGATTCCTATGGAGCTAAGATTGGCAAATCCACAGAGTGCAAATGTTGTAATGATTTCAGCTCTAACCTAGGGAAAAGAAAAATAAGTAAGTAAAAATAACTCAGTTCAATACATGCTGTCAAATAATGCAGAGTACTTAAAACTACCAATTTTAAAATGATTTAATAATTATATAAAAATTAAAAAATTTAAAAAAACAATTCTGTCCATACACCTTAACGAATATGGGAAGGATGTTCAGAAAATAACAACTCCTTGGGTTACAACAAAGATAATGATAAGGAAACCACCCTGGGCTTCTCTGCCCTTTGTTGAAGCCTATGAATAAGGAGAAGGCATAGAAATGAGAATGACTAAGAAGGAAGAGAGACAGAGGGAGAGAATAAAGGAGATCAATTTATAGCAACTTAATAGATGAAGAAGGGGATCTCAGACTATCCTAAATAGTGTCTTGGTAACTGTAAAAATTCAGCATTACATCATAGAGAGGAGTTGGGTCAGAATGTGTGTATTCTGCAGTGGAGGCAGGGGTGGAGGCAGGGAACGAGGACAACCTAGGCTCTGGAGCTAAGCACACAGTTATGCTTGCTTTGTGGTTAGGCCTGGGACACTGGAAATGGATCTGTGGGTATGAAATAAATGTCTCTGTAATACTTTTTATCTATTCTCAGACTTTTTTGCTTTTCTGGAATGTCACTTACAGAAATCCACTGTTTTTCATTCCCGTCCCATTCTTCCACTCCAGAGAGACGTTTGTTCTTGTATTTAGACAGTTGCTCATAGGCCACAAACTCATTTGTGAAAAACTTGATCCCCACCATTTCAGCTACCATTGGACAGTCTGACCAGTCTACACCCATCATGAAAACCATGGGTCTTAGGATATAAGAGCAGATGACCTTGGTGAAAGAAAGGAAAAGGAAAAACAACACAGGTCAAGAGCCAAGCACCTCCTCTAGAGCCTTGACTCAGTCTCCTCCACCCTTTTCCCTTCCATACTCCCTCTTAGCTCAGGATGGGTCGGGAATTCAAGGAGTACTTAACCATACCCAAGAACAGCCCAACGATTATAATCATTTACCTGAAAAGTGAGTCCTTGTATGTCTACCATTTCCCCTAGCCAGGAGAGTGCAGCATTGATGAAGGCCAGTACTGCCAAAAAGGCTATCAAGTTGGCTGCCACATTAGCAGCAAGGCCTATGGCATCTGAGGCTCCATTGCTGGCGGCTTCCAGGACATTCCTCTCCTTCCTGTGGTTATTGGACATAGGGGAAGAATATGGTGTCTACAGTCATCCCAGTCTCTCAGAGAAGAGAAATATTACTGTCCCTGTAATGTTGGATGCAAGACGGTACAAAGCCAACTTGAGAGGTGGTGGGCCTTCTGCAGTGATCCTTATGGTGGAAATTACACTGAAGCGGTATCAGATTTAATTGCCATGAAATTACACAAACATTAAGGACAGAGGTAACTGGCCTGCTGAAGATGGAGACAGATGGGCGGGGTAAATGAAATAAGAAACTCAACATTCTTAGCTAGAGGTAGACACAGGCAAGAGGGGATATGTAATCACAGTCCTTCCACAGGAGACTTGAGCCTCAGCCACCATAGCATCACTTTGCTATACCTGATCTTACTACTACCATCCCAAATATATGTCATTAGACTCACCCAGGGGGCAATTTTACCCCCTCCTTATTCTTGAACTTGGACTCCTCCACTTCTGGATACACCAGCTTTGACAAAGCAAGAGCAGAAGGGGCAGCCATCACAGAGGCAGAAATCAAGGATGACGCGTCAACCTGCAAAACCAGTCTTTGGGTCAGTGTCTGCATAACCCAGACTCAGTTTTACTCAAGAGTGGTCAAACCGATGTTGCCTACCCCAAAGGATATGAATGCTCCTAGCACAGTGCCTGAAATGGTGGCAAAGCCTCCAGTCATCACTGCGTGGATTTCTGAAAGCGTCATGTCTGCAAGGTATGGACGAATGAGCAGAGGTGCCTCTGTCTATGAACAAGGAGAAGTGAGTCAGATTCAAGAGGGTGTGACTCCCATTCCAAATGGGCTCCCTGGAGCCCCAGGACATACCCCTCCCACATGAGTGCCCTTCCAGCTTGGGCTTTGCTCTTGGACCTGCCCACTGTCTGCCTCTCTTTCTCTCTGGCACCTAATATTTCTGGTTGGCATTGTCCTCCTCTGTTTTCATACAAGTTTTTCTCAACTATTAAAATTTTTAAATGCTATAAAAGAGAAATGTATTTCTTTTGTATGTTTCCAATATGTAGACCTTATAGTTAATGAATGAACTTATGGAATAAATGGTACTTACTGAGTATATACTAGTTACTTTAATAGCACTCATAAATGAATTGCAGAGGTGACTGAAGCCCAATGCTGATGAAAATCAACAGAAATGTTTGTGAAAATGTTATGAAGTTATGAAGAACCAACTATGAAAACTATGTCTAGCATTGACCTAAGATAATGTTATTTATAATTTAATAAGGGAACACTGTGTGCCTTGTGCTGTACTAGATGATAAGGATATTAATACGAATAGGGTAAAGTTCCTATCCTTAGGAACTTTCAGTTTAACACCGGAAACTAAGCTGATTATGGATAATTTCAGCAGAATGTAGTGTGCTATGGTTTCAATATGCAAAAATATTCTTAGAATATTTTAGAACTAATTAATCAGTATTTTAGAACTAGTTAATGAGTTAATCATGTTGGGAGAGAAAGAACCTCAATATTAGTTCTTTGCCAGTTTTAACAAGTCATGGTCCCTAATAACTGAGAAGTCAACAGCACATATTAAGCACTTAATCCATGTAGACAGAAGCCTCAAGCAAGTATAATGCAGAAGAGACTTGGTGTCACCCCTTAGCAAGGCAAGCTCAGCCTCCTTAGTGACCCCTGAAACCCAGAGTCACAAGAGAACCCAGAATATAGAACAACTACATTTCATAGCTCCTTATCAAGTGGGATAAGATTTGGAAGAGGGCATTTCGCTCAATTAATCTATAAGGAGTTGGATCCGTGGCTAAGGACAACCACATTAAATTGCTTAGGTAAATATTATTAGGCATGAAAACTGAAAGTAATGAAATGAGTACCTGCCCATACCATCTTCATTTCTTGACTTTTCAAAAATTACACATGCCTTTCTTAACCTGTTTTCTGCCACATTCTCTGTTCCCCGGAGAAAAGACCAGAAGGCCTCAAGGTGCTTACCATACCCACAAAGATGTTTCCTGCCACAGCCAGGGTCTCTGTGGCAGTAGTGCCCAGAGTGATTTGCAAAAACCAGGCCACCTAAAGAGATAAAAATACCTAAGCCATTAACAGTAACAGAAATCTTGGAGAGTATAAGAAAGCACCTCCTTCTCTACTTTAGTGGTAGACAGAAAAATAGTGACAAACCCAAGGTCACAAAGCTAATTTTATTTTTTTTAAAGATATATTTATTTATCTATACAAGCACTGGATACAGTCAGAAGCACAGGAGGGTGAGAGAATTCACCAGAGCCAGAGCGGAGAGCAGAACAGGCAGACTGACAAAGTACACTGCTGAGGGGAGCAGCGGGTGGCAGGAGAGGTCTGCGCTCCATGTGGGACCCTCGCTTGGCGGCCAGGGATCGAACCGGCGCTGCAGAGGCTGCGGGCAGCTTTGCAACCCAGCGCTCAACTGCTGTGCCACTGGGGAGGGCCACAAAGCTAATTTTAAACAGAGCCTGGACCAGAACTCAGGATTCCTAGTTTCCAGAACAAGTCCCTTAGGACTTAAACATGACCATCTGATATCAGGTATGCTCAAAAGAGTTTCCCTTTTCACACTGGTTCTAACACTCTAAATCCCATATAAGAGTGTTGTTCAAAATATATGCCATCTTCATGCCTCTTGACAGATCACAGGATGAAGATACATCTCCTAAGTGGTGTGGAAGAATGACTCACCTTCTGAACCACCCACTGCACAAGGCCAAGATAGTAGAGAATGGACATCACGCAGCCAAAGAAAATGATGATGGGCAAGGACTGTAATGAGAATGACAGGGTCGTAGTGTATTATATTTTGGGCCTCTACTTAAACTCTCAACATTTCAAGATGATCAAGCTGTGTAGATCCTCAGTGGATATTTAAACATAAACTAGTTTAGGAATAATTTAAAAATATATTACAAATCTATCATGTGCATAACACCATCAGATGTTTTCTGAGCCTTCCTCTCCAATTCCTATTTCATGCCAATGTCAAGATGGCATCATCATCCTCTGTTGCATGCCTCCTCCAACAATGACCGTAACCCCTGCCCCCAAAACAGACGTGACCTGAAAAGCAAAGGCTTCCTTGACCAGCGTATTTCCAAAGACAAAACTGGAGCCAGCCAGGGTGTAGTTCAGGAAAATCTGAAGGAGAGAAGAAAAAGAGAGAGAAAACTAGAGTGAAAACAGGAAGGATACACAGGAAGATGGGCTCGACCTCACACATGATTAGGACCTACTGCTGCAACTAAGGTTTGCTGGTCTTTGACAGCCTGGGGCAGACTGTTCCATTGAGCCGCTTATTCGATGAGCAAGAATTAGCAGTTCAGTTCTCCTTATCCATATGATTAGTTGTACCCCAGTATACACTCTCTTTTACCACCAGGTCTCCCACCACCATCAATAAGAAGACATAGTCCAATCTCATCATGTTTCCCCCAGATCTCCTTGGTCTAGGGTTCTAAAAGAGTAGAGCCCTCCTATTCAATTTCTCATACCTGAATTTGATCTCCCAGCCATTGAAATGCAATAAATCCAGGATCAGTTCTAATGACCAGGATCCCAAAGACAAACTGAAGGCCCAGGCCCCAAAATACTGCCCTCCAGGACACCTGGAACCAATAAGACCATTATTCCAATGTAAACTAGAAACTCTATTTGCCTATTACCTGGGTAGATTTTTAAAAATGGGTTCATGTACTCTGGGTGGAATCAACCTAGGATGTAATAGTAAATCTGAGGTAAGATGGTATAGGGGAGTGGGAGAAATAGGGCAGTAATATGTGAAAAGCCACATCTAACCTTACGGCTCTTAAAACTGTATCTACAGGTTAGATAATACTCATCCATACATTTATGCATACACACATACAAATCAAAGTCATAAACCAATACTTTATATTACAGTGTTCAATGCAAACTAATTCTCTATTGTATTCTATTTTGTTGTTGTTCCTTTCCTTATTTTTTTTACACTGGTCTACATCCACAAAATTGATATCAAAAGTCACTAATGGCTCACAACCTACAGTTTGAAAACAAATGGTCTAGGGCCTCTGAGAACGTTAAGACTTCTCTTAGGAGCAAATTTGTCAAAGAGGCAAATTTAGAGAGTGTTAAGGTCTTGGTTCTGTACTTTTGTAATCAATACTCAACACATGTGCTTTGCAATTAGTAGTACATGGCGCTCGGTTAGGTGTTATAATGCCCAGCTTATATATCCAAAACTCACTGCACTGTGGTGTTTGGAGCAGGCAAAGAGGATGAAGACAAACATGCAGATTCCTGCAAAGGAGATCAGCTGCTCTGGCCGTTTGGCTGTGTCAAGAGCCAGCCACAGGATAAGGCCAACCAACGCGAGTCCTATGAACACCCTGTAGGGGGAACGCCAAGATCATGTTATTCAGTAAATGAATACGTAATTAACTTTACCTCTGAAAAATAAGCGTTCACCCTAAGGATAAATGAAATAACTTAATAGTTCATTGTTGATTAGACAAAGAGACATCTCTTGAGAATCATTCATCTGGTAGTTTCCACCTCTCTCCCCTAACTCTTTTACTTGCAGATAAAATTGAAAGAACCAATGTGAAGACACAAACTACATCCTTTTCCTCATGTTTCCATATCAGTAAGATGTGATATAAGATTGTCCTAATGAATGACCAAAATACTTTAAAAAGATGAAAAATATGCATTCGTTTCCCACGATCTCTGTTCATGGAAGCCATGAACAGTGGTTTCCAACCACTGCAAGATCAAAAGTAAAGACATAGCCACAAATCAACTACTTATGGCCCCTTGATTTACCAAACATGCTTGATGCATACACAGGTTTCCACATGTCTGAATGTTGGAGTCATTTCAGTTCCAAGGGGAAGAATTAGAAGGGTGATCACACAGCAAAAAAAAAACCCCAAAAAACAAAAAGAACATATTGTCCATTGAAATGCCTTGGAAATAACACAAAGCAATACAAGTTAGGGGTGAATTTTAGAACCATTCTCACTGTGAACTCATTTTCTACATGAGTTCAGGTAACTGCAGAACTCATGGCTTCCAGAATCCATCTTGCTAATGAAGAAGCATCCCTCAGTGACAAATACACCAAATGATCCAAAATTTAGGTTGTAATCTTGTGTGTGTCTTCAAATTGGTGATGTTGTAAATATCCTTAAGACCTATTTTCTGTGCATCCATTGGAGAACAGACAGAAAAGAACTTTATAAAAGAATTTGTAAGCATTGATGAAGACCAGCACTGCCAAAAAGGCTATCAAGTTGGCTGCCACATTAGCAGCAAGGCCTATGACATCTGAGGCTCCATTGCTGGGGGCTTCCGGGACATTCCTCTCCTTCCTGTGGTTATTGGACATAGGGGAAGAATATGGTGTCTACAGTCATCTCAGTCCCTCAGAGAAGAGAAATATTACTGTCCCTGTAATGTTGGATGCAAGAAGGTACAAAGCCAACTTGAGAGGTGGTGGGCCTTCCGCAGTGATCCCTATGATGGAAATTACACTGAAGCGGTATCAGATTTAATTGCCATGAAATTACACTAACATCAAGGGCAGTGGACACTGGCCTGGAGAAGATGGAAGCAGATGGGCAGGCTAAATGAAAGAAAAAAATCAAGAGGCCTGTGATCAAAGGGCATGTGATTGCTCTAGTGAGTTAGATGACCTGCTGTAGAATGCAGTTCAATAGCCACTGAAAAGTTAGCTTGCTTCTTAAACTCTACGGAATTGCAAAAGACACCAATGTGCACGGAGTCTGGAAGGCGAGAGAAAAAGTGAAGAGTGTCAGGGAACTAAGGAAGACACATGAGACCACCAAACCATTTGATGGTTTAATGTAGCCTCAGGCCTCTTTGTCTTGATTACTTCATTGAAAAGGAGGATGATCGCCCTTATGTCTGACATGAGCACTGACAATAAATGGACTAAAACTCTTGCCTCGAACAGAACCTCTCCTGCCCTCCAGAATGTTGAGGCACGTGGCTCACTGTTCTGACATCCATTGCTCCTTGCTCTCTGAGCCTCGATTTTGAAAAGTGTAGGTGATGGCCCCAGAGAGAGCTCAAGAACTATCAGAGAAGAAAAAGGTACAGAGACTGTGTTCAGAGACAAGTTGTAGAACCAGGAATATCAAGGTTCTTAATCTTACTCATCATATCATCCAAAGCTATCTTACCTTTTCATCCAAAGCATCACACAGGGGTTTTTCAAGGGCTTCAGACATCCTGTTAATTTTTTACCCAAGAACCTTTTCAGAAAGCGGTGAGCCAAGACCAAGAGCACCAAACAGGTGAGGACGAACAAAGCCAGCGCCCTTTGGAAATTCAAGATGCAAGCTGTCAGGAAGTAGGCGGCATAAGCTTTAAAAAAAAAAAAAAAAAGATAGTACTGAGTAAGGATCAGCAAGGCAGAAATCCATAGGGGTAAATGAAGCACTAAGGAAGATTATCTTGTATTTAAAAATGAACGACTAGGCCTCCCTGGTGGTGCAGGGGTTAAAGTCTCAGTGCTATCAAACTATCACCAGCCACTGCATCATGAGTTTGATCCCCAGCCAGGGAGCTACCCACATATGGCACAGCAGACCTCTCCTGTCTCACCCGCTGCTTCCCTCAGCAGTGTATTTCAGTAGATCTGCCTGTTCTGTTCCCCGCTTTGTCTCTGGTGAATCCTCCCACCCCCCCCCACACCTCTGGCCTACACCCCAGTCCTTGTATGTATAAATAAATAAAATAGGGCCTCCCTGGTGGTGTAGGCAGCTGAGCACAGCACTGTGAAGCTGTCTGCAGCCTCTGCAGCGCAGGTTCAATCCCAGCCAGCCGGCGAGAATCCCACATGGCGCTGCAGACCTCTCCTGTCTCGCCTGCTGTTCCCCTCAGCAGTGTGTTTCCTCAGTCTGCCTGTTCTGTTCCCCGCTCTGTCTCTGGTGAATCCTCTCACCCTCCCGCATATCTGGCCTGTACCCCAGCACTTGTATAAATAAAAATAAATCTTTAAAAAATAAAATAAAAAATAAAATAAATCCTTTTTTAAATTTTATTTTTATATTCCCCATACATGCAACCCCCTTATTTTGACCCCATCCCTCCTTTCCCCGCCCACCCCCCATAGTGTGTCTCTGGTTCATAGTTGTTTGTTGATTTTGATTTTTTCTTTCTTATAGTTATTCTTTTTCCTGGTCCCTTATTTAGGTTTTCTAGATTTCTGCTTTGAGTGAGACCATCCAGTATTTTTCTTTCTCTTTCTGGCTTATTTTGCTGAGCATGATCCCTTCCAGTGCCATCCATGTTGCTGCAAATTGCATGTGTTTATCTTTTTTGAATGCTGCGTAATATTCCATGGTGTATATGGACCACATCTTCTTGATCCAGTCATCTATTTTTGGGCATTTGGGCTGTTTCCAAAGCTTAGCTATTGTAAACAGTGCTGCTATAAACATAGGGGTGCAGGTGCTCTTTGGAATTAATGTTTCTGTGTCATTTGGGTAAATACCTAGGAGTGGAATTGCTGGATCATATGGAAGCTCTATCTTTAGTAGGTTGAGGAATCTACACACAGCTTTCCATAGTGGTTGGACCAGTTTGCACTCCCACCAGCAATGCAGGAGAGTTCATTTTTCTCTACATCCTCGCCAACATTTGTTGTTGCTAGTTTTTTTAATATGTGCTATTCTCACTGGTGTAAGATGGTATCTCATTGTAGTTTTTTTTTTTTTTAAAGATTTATTTATTTATTTATTTATTTATTTATTTATTTATACAAGCACTGGGGCACAGTCAGAAGCGCAGGAGGGTGAGAGAATTCACTAGAGACAGAGCAGGGAGCAGAGCAGGCAGAAGGACCGAAGTACACTGCTGAGGGGAGCAGCGGGCGGCAGGAGAAGTCTGCGCGCCATGTGGGACCCTCCTCCGGTGGCCGGGGAGCAGCCAGGGATCGAACCGGCGCTGCAGAGGCTGCGGGCAGCTTCACAACCCAGCGCTCAACCACTGCGCCACCAGGGAGGCCCTCATTGTAGTTTTGATTTGCAATTCCCTGATTACAAGTGATGTTGAACATTTTTTCATATGCCTGTTGGCCATTTGTATTTCCTCTTTGGAGAAGTTTCTTTTTAGCTCTTCTGCCCATTTTTTCACTGGATTATTTTCTTTGTTGTTGTTGAGTCTCATCAGCTCTTTGCAGATTTTTGTGATCAGTCCTTTATCATTAGTGTTGTGTGCAAAAATGTTCTCCCAGTCGGTGGGGTTTCTCTTTGTTTTGGTTATTGTCTCTTTTGCTGTGCAGAAGCTCTTTAATTTGATGTAGTCCCAGCTGTTTAGCTTTGCCTTCACTATCATTGCTTCGGGTGATGTGTCTGTAAAGATGTCTTTGAGGTGCATGTCATGTAGTATTTCTCCTATATTTCCTTCTATGTATTTTATGGTTTCAGGTCTTATGTCTAGTTCTTTAATCCATTTTGAGTTGGTTTTGTGCATGGTGTGAGGTAGTGGTCAAGCTTCACTCTTTTGCATGTGGCGATCCAGTTTTCCCAGCACCATTTATTGAACAAACTTTCTTTGCTCCAGTGCATATTCTTTGCTCCTTACTGACAGTATATTTTAAATAGAGATTTGCTGGCTTTAATAAATACTTTATATAATTGATGTCACTACTAAGTCAGTAAATAATATCTTATAGGCTTCTCAACAGAGAGACAAGAACTATGCCCCATATTGAATCAAGACACTAAAAAAGAGGCACTTCCCTGGTGGCGCAAGGGGTTAAGCATAGCACTGTGAAGCTATCAGCAGCCTCTGCAGCACAAGTTCAATCACCTGGCTGGCCAGGGAGGTGACTCACATGGCACAGCAGACCTCTCCTGACTCACCCACTGCTCTCCTCAATAGTGTATTTCAGTTTAGCTGCTTGTTCTGCTCCCCACTCTGTCTCTGGTGAATCCCCTCACCCCCCCACACCTCTGGCCTGTACCCCATTTCTTGTATGCGTAAATAAATAAATTTTTAAAAGACACTAAAAAAGAGATAAGCCCAGTTTCTCTGAGAGACTTATCAAATAGCATATCTTGAAAAATGGCTTATTCTCACATTTTATTTATTATTGGCAGTACAACTCAGTAATTTAAGGTTTATCTACTAGTAATTATAAGACCTACACATCAAATAACCCTTTAATCTGTTTGTGGACAAAACTGCTTTCTAACTAATAATTGTCTTAAACAACGCCATATTCCTAAAATGGTTGTACCTCTTGCTTGCCTGAATTCTCAGCACCTTACCCAAACATAGTAGGGTCAGCAGGATAATCCTGAAAATGCGAGCATGTCTTCTATAGAAACTTCTCGCCCTGGTGAATAGTTGTAGGCCCCTATCAAAGAGAACCAAAAAGTAAAAATTATTTCATTCCATTTGTATCAGCTCCTAGAACGTAGGCTATCTGGTGTAAGGATTTTTCTTTTAATTAATGAAGTAAATTATTCATCCATGGAAAGTGAGGTAGTGTTCCCGCAATGCCAAAAGGCCAGATCAAACCTTATGCATGGCAGCACGTCAAAATAACTCTCTTCAGGCTGCAAGAGCAATATCCTTGGTGATCTTGTTCCAGAGAAGTTTACAGTGGGCGCATCAAGGAGAGACTATTGGACTTACTTCTTCCTTGTTCCCCGGAGACAAGGGATTGAGAGCTTCTAGATTCTATTCCTTGAGGGACAACTCTGCCCTTTCCTCCCCCAAAACTACACAAACCCATAACCCTGAAAAGTTGATCAGTTGTACATGGCAAACTGGAAGGAAAATACCAGCATCCTCAAGAATCCCTAGGTGGGTAGGGGCTAAGTGAAGATGTTCAGCAAGCTCTTGAACAGCAAGTGCTATTCAAGTTGATTAGACAAGCATTTGGAATTAGAGAAGTTGATGAACTTTTTCAAGGCCATCAGGGTTGTAAGTAGCAAAGACAGAATGTAAATTCAGGCAACTCTGATTCTATCTTCAGAACCTACAAGTAATTGCAAGACCTATATATCAAATAACCCTTTAATCTATGATTCTGAAGACACAGTCAGAGCTCTTGGCCATCATCCTATGCTGCAACTTACCAGACCCCAGGTTTACCTGCCTCTGCCATTTTTAAGTATGCTCAGCACACTGTAGTCATATGACCAAAACACTCTAATTTCCACACTCTTGGAAGCACCAAAAAGTGAGTTCAACAAAAAGGTCCCAGCTGGTCATCACACTTAGGGAGAACACCTTAGGGCTGAGTGAAAAGGATTGCTTAACAGTTTCAGGATAGTTGAAGGAAGTCATTATCTTTGGAATATCATTCACAATGCATATCAAGGAACTAATCTCATTTCAATCCTGGATTTCCTATGGATGGCAGAGATTTTTGGTTTGCTCCTCCTAACCCACCTCTTCCTTGCTCTGTGTTGTGGGAGTCTTACCCATTGACAGGCTCTCATGCCCTCTGGTTTATCTAGTTGGGTTCTACCAGAAGGACTCCTCAAGAGACGAGAGTAAATGAAAACTGGGATCAGCATATTGGGGATATCTTTATCTAATTCTCCTTCTGGGTTCTCCTGTATCTTTTCCCTTTGAGCCTAAGAATAGTAACTTAGAAAAGAAAAGAAACTTTGCTGTTCCTTTTTTAAAAATTTATTTCTTTATATATATTTCCATCTTTGTTCATTTTTGTACAATATTTTCTTTCTCCTCTCAGGTGTAGTCCCCATAAAATTCCCATCACCAATTCACCCATGCACCATCACCATAGTCCCTTGTGCTCTTCCCTCCCCTATTTTGATCCCTCTCCCTTCCCGTCCCCTACAGAATAGCTCTGATTTATAGTTGCCTGCTAATTTTGAATTTTTATTTATTCTTATTTTTTTTCCTGATTCCTTATTTGGTTCCCTTATATTCCTTCATTAAGTGAAACCATCCAATATTTTTCTTTTTCCTTCCGACTCATTTCACTGAGCATAATCCTTTCCAGCTCCATCCAAGTTGCTGTGAATGGCATGAATTTATCTTTTTTGACTGCTGAGTAATATTCCATTGTGTATATATACCACATCTTCTTGATCCAGTCATCTATTTTTGGGCATTTGGGTTATTTCCATATCTTACCTATTGTCAATAGCACTGCAATAAACATAGGGGTACAGAGAAACCAACTCAAAATGGATAAAAGAATTTAACATAAGACCTGAAATCATAAAATATGTAGAAGAAAATACAGGCAAACACTACATGACATACATCTCAGTAACATCTTTAAAGACATCCCACTTTGCTGTTTCTAACCTCAGTTTCTTGTACTACCATTTCTTATGGTTCCATTACCTCTTGCACACAACTTTCTAATGGTGTCTTTGTCAGTATATCCTCCAGTAATTATCCCAATTTAACTATATCTTGTTTTTCCTACTGGGACCCAAACTGATACACTAGGCAAAGCTTATTTAAAGTTTTACCCAACAAAATGCCAGCGCAGCAATGCCATTATAAAAAAGAAGAGGCATGCAATAACCCAAGAGTAAAAATAAATCTTGTGCCTAGAAAAAGATTTCTGTTATCACCTCACAACCACAATCAACCATTTCCTGGGAACAAAAGTTCTGTGATTCTACTAGAAATCAAGTAAAAACACTCATTCCTGCAAAAAGCCCACGAGTAGCCTGAAACTGAAGCTCTGATTTAAAATGTACCATTAAAAAATAAAAAAAGGAAAGCCAGTAGGAATATTTGAAACAAAACAAGAAAACTAGCTTTATCATCGTTTTCAGCCAATTAAGAAGCAGCACAGAGGTGTGTGGGCAGGTGCTCATGGTCCTGTATTTATCTTATTGGCGCAGGATCTTGCTAATACTACCAAACTCTGTACATAATGGTATAGTCTAAGGGTTACTAACTATAATATATCAGAAAGTTGAATTGAGCAGAAATCTGATTGATGGTGAAATTTGACACTTGGTCATAAAGTGCTGTGAAGTCATATACCCACTGATAAGTTCTCCAGGTATATGGAAGGCTTTCCTGCTATGGGCTATCAATAGCCCTCTTATTTACATGGGTATTGCCTACAGTCTCAAGTTACAGGGTGAAAAAGTATAGCATGGGGTGGTATGTAGTGCCGGCTGAATATAACATTAGTGGGCACCACAGGGCAGACCTGGAAGTAAGGGCATTCATACATTTTCTCAGTGACCTCATCCACAAGATGTGGAAATTCTCCCAACTAAGATAAGTAGATCCATGAAAATTCACAGGGCCTGGAATACTATGTTCAGCAGTTAGGGAGGAAAGCTTAGGACAGCTTTCAGAAAAATTCATCTCCAATAACTTGATGGTGAGGGCCTTAGGTGAATCTTTGCTGCTCTCACTTGAGGTAAGAACTGAAAGAAAATAAATGAGTCCAACACAGACCAAAATGATTATCATATTAAAGTGTGAGGACCTTCAGACAAATGTGACCTGAATCAAAGGGCTTGATAGTATAAAAAGAACTGGTCAGGGCCTCCCCTGGTGGCACAGCGGTTGAGCGCTGGGCTGCAAAACTGCCCGCAGCCTCTGCAGTGCCGGTTTGATCCCTAGCTGCCGGCGAGGGTCCCACATGGCGCAGCAGACCTCTCCTGTCACGCCCGCTACTCCCCTCAGCAGTGTACTTCTCATTCTGCCTATTCTGTTCCCGCTCTGGCTCTGGTGGGTTCTCTCACCCTCCTGCACTTCTGACTGTATCCAGTGCTTGTATAAATTTTTAAATATATAAATAAAAAAAATAAAAAGCTATAATAAATAAATAAATAAAAAGGAACTGGTCAGTGGGGACTGCCCTGGCTACCACTTTGCCAGATTCAAAGTTATAGATACAACTAGCTTCAAATTGGATTGGCCAGGAGACCTGGGAGTAAAGAATAACTATCAAAAGAGTGCAAGGGAGAATAGTGACTGAATGTGAGAAGCAAAAAGCTTATAAAAATGGAAAGTCAAATAGGAGTTGGAAAGCCAGGGAAGGCAAGAGAAAGATCTCTCAAATAGAAGCCAGCTTACAATGGAGACAAAGGCTCTGTGCACCCGGGGATGACCAGTTCTCAGAGTCATTAGCACAGATAGAATAAGAAGGGAACCTGAACCAAAACACAATGGGGTGCTTAATTGCTAAGTTATGATGAATGTTTTGCCAGAGAAGAAAGATTTCCCTCCACATGGTACCCAAATCTCTGCTTGATGTGCCCATTTCAGATGATGGAAAATGTCAGATCTTTATCACACTCACAATAGAGACCCAAGGCCAAGGGTTCACAAAGACAAAGGAACTATGTGGTGGGATCTCCAGCTGGACTTTCAACATATTCTTAACATCTTCCTTTCAAAACTCATCTCTCCAAGATGAGGGTGGGTGAAGGCTAGTTGGAAATCCCACAACATAGTTCTTTTTTCTTTGTGGACCTTTGGCATTGGTTGTTAGCAAAAGTTTCTCCCTGATTCTAGTATGTGATTAATGCACATCATGGGTTTCCTATGATACAGTTTGCCTTTATTTAAACATTCTTTTAATGATTTCATTTGGAATTTAAGGACAAGTGGGCTCTAGTTCCTTCAGATGCTGATAGCAATCTCAGGCCCTAGTAAGAAATGAAAAAAAATGGAGGATAGAGAGAAGTCCCTGCAAGGATGGAATGCCTATAATTCTTCCTTGGGACTTGCACTGACATGTAACATAGTCAGGCCCAAGATGCCTTTCTAGACGTCCATCCTGTAACTTTTACAGCACATGTCCACTAACCCATGTTACCATCCTTACCCATGTCTGGTAGGCTTCCTGTCATCCTGCCAAGAAGTCAGAATGGTTGCTCTGATAGGGGAGCCAGAAGAGACAGCAAACATAATGGGAGAGTGGGAGAGCTATCAGGAAAAGGTAAAAATAGAAATGATCTTTAATAAGGAGGTGACATTTAATGATGTCGAAAATCAAGCAGCTTGGCAAATGAGAACATGATAAATTTGGTAGTGAAGAGCTGACAGGTTCTGTTTGAGAGAGTTATTTACAGGAGAGTGACTGGGTGAAGCAAAGTTGCAGATTATTAAGGAGTGAATGAGTATATATGGACTACTTTTTCAAAAAATTTGCCCATGAAGAAAAGAAAAGCTAGATACTATTTATTAAAAACCCTTTGCTAGTTACTACAAGGCCTCATAGTTCACTCTCCTGAAACACAAAACCTATTAAGGTTAGTACTATAACAAAATTATGAGAAGGGAAATGAAGCCTGCTAGCAGGTGGCAGAGTAACGATTTAAAACCCTGATCTTGGGCCTCCCCGGCGCAGCAGTTGAGCGCTGGGCTGCGAAGCTGCCCGCAGCCTCTGCAGCGCCAGTTAGATGCCCGGCCGCTGGCAAGGGTCCCACATGGTGCGCAGACCTCTCCTGCCGCCTGCTGCTTCACAAAGACAAAGTGCTGCTTCAGAAAGACAAAGCAGTGTACTTCGTCTGTCTGCCTGTTCTGCTCCCTGCTCTGGCTCTGGTGAATTCTCTCACCCTCCCGTGCTTCTGACTGTACCCAGTGCTTGTATAAATAAATAAAGTAAATAAAACCCTGATCTTCCCATTACTCCATATTGGTTCTTATTATAAATGTAAGACTCAAATTCTAGAAGGACCATTCCAGAATTCCAGTGTTATCATTGGAAGGATCACGGGAAGAACTAATCTGAAAGGTAGCAGGGAACAAGTCTGCTAAGTGGATATGCAGGAGTTAAAAAAGAGAGGGTTGTGGTAACTAGAAGTGAGCAAGGCATGTTTGAATGTGGCTAGCATTTTTTTTTTTAAGATTTATTTACTTATGCATACAAGAGCTGGGGTAAAGGCCAGAGATGTGGGGTTGTGTCTTAACCCCTTGCACCACCAGGGAGGCCCGAGGTCAGCATTCTGAAAGAACAGTATGCTTTGCTGTCATATGGAGGCAGGGAGCGTGTGGATAGATGGTGGGAAGAAAGCTTGTGAGAAGGGCAGCAGCCAGATCATGTGGATTATATGCCAAGCTGATGAACTACGCAAATTCCCAACCACAGTAAAACGAACAAGTAAATTGTAGCCGAGTGTGACAACACTAAATAGTAAGTAAAAAAGTACAAACCGGGCCTCCCCGGTGGCGCAGCGGTTGAGCGCTGGGTTGCGAAGCTGCCCGCAGCCTCTGCGGCGCCAGTTCGATCCCCGGCTGCTCCCCGGCCACCGGAGGAGGGTCCCACATGGCGTGCAGACCTCTCCTGCCGCCCACTGCTCCCCCCAGCAGTGTACTTCGGTCCTTCTGCCTGCTCTGCTCCCTGCTCTGGCTCTGGTGAATTCTCTCACCCTCCCGCGCTTCTGACTGTACCCAGTGCATGTATAAACAAAAAACAAACAAACAAACAAATAAATAAATAAAACATGCCTCTATGTGCAACAATATAGAAGAATGTCCCAAAAATGATGCTGAGCAAAAGAAGCCAGACACACAGTAGGGATGGCTCACTTCCATTTAAAATATAAATGGGGGCCTCCCCGGTGGCGCAGCAGTTGAGTGCTGGGTTGCGAAGCTGCCCGCAGCCTCCGCAGCGCCGGTTCGATCCCCGGCTGCTCCCGGGCCACAGGGGTCCTTCTGCCTGCTCTGCTCTCCCCTCTGGCTCTGGTGAATTCTCTCACCCTCCCGTGTTTCGACTGTGCCCAGTGCTTGTATAAATAAATAAATAAATCTTTAAAAAAAAAAAAACACCTTATTTAAAAAATAAAATATAATATAAATGGATTTTATTTCTGTTAAAAGTATAAATTAGACTTTACACTACAGTCCAAAAACAGGCAAAAATCAGTCTATTATACTAAAAGTCAGGGTAACTTTTAGGGCAGTTGTGACTGAAAAGGTATCACTGTGGTACTTGACACTGATGATGTTATGGTCATGAGTATGCCAACTTTATGAAATTCATTGAGAGGCTCACAAAATATGCTTAGTTTTCTGTATGGACACTGAGGCATATTAAAATTTACATGAAAAATAGCATCATAGGGCACATGAAACAAGGTATAAGTCAGGACAAAGAAATTTACTTTATAAAATTGTATAACTCTAATGGCAGATATAAAGAGGACATGGTTAAAGGAGATCTGCTTTTATCCTGACTGGGAAAACCAAAAGGATTAATGATGGCAATACCCTGCAAATTAATTCATACACTCAATACAGTAAAAATTTCACTTCCCACAGGAATATTTTTAGAAATTGACAATTTGATAAGACAATTTATTTGAAGAATAAACTGACAAGAATACCAAGGAATATTAATTAAAGAGGAAATTAATGCAAATAACTGACCAGAGTCTATTGCTAAAATTTTATAAGGAGTTTGCTAGGTTGACACATATCTATTAAAATTTGAACATTATAGAATTTTTTAGTATATACTATAGATAAAGCATTGTATCATGGTTCCTATCCTTGATGTATTTCCAGCCCAGTGTAGGAGTACAGGTAAGTTACAGGTAAGTCTGTAGCAAACACATTGTCAAAACACTTAAATGCTATCTGAGAGGAGCAAATAAAATGCTACGGAAGTTTGGAGACAGAAGGGACCTCCTAGAATTGGGGCCAGCACATTTGAAGAGGAGGAACATTTGTGATGGTATCATGAACATGATAATTTTGAGTTGGACCTGAAAAGATATGCTGTATTCAGCCAGAAAGATGTACAATGAAAAAACATTTCACTCAAAAGGAATGATGGAAAGAATGGCCAGAGGCAGGAAATGAAGGATTATATATAAGGAAGAGAGAGAGAGAGAGAGAATGAGAGCTTATATATATATATATATATATATATATATATATATATATATATATATATAGAGAGAGAGAGAGAGCCTATATATATATATATATATATAGGCTCTCTTTATATATGGTTGACTCTCACTAGAACAGAGGGGAATTGTAAGAGTTCATTGTTGAGAGGCAAGAGGAGTGGGGACATTCAAATGTCAAGCTGTGGAGTTGGGTCCTGTTAAGGATCCAGGTGGTTGATTTGTTTGTTTGTTTTGGTTTGTGTTTATTTGTTTGCTTATAATGGAGCCACAGAGGTTTTTAAATAAGGGAGTTCCATGTCATGTTGAGGCAGTTTGGGTAGAATCTACATTGGAGAGGTTGACAGTGGGTGAAGAGCACTGCAAACAAGAAATCTATATGGTGCTACGTGAGTAGTTTAGAAGAAAGGAAATTGAGGTTTGAAATCCAGATTGTACTGTAGTTGATAAAGAAAAAATGTAAAGCACATGCAGAAATACAGAAATTAAACCAAATGGGGGAGATGTCTCACTTTACTAGAATTTAAAGAAATTCAAGTTATAATTTTAAAGGCTAATTTTTATATCTGCATAATTAATCTTTTTATATGAGATAATATAAATTGATGAGATTTGAGGAAACTGGATACAATTATACATTAGAGCAATTTAAGGTACCAACAATAACAAAATAAATCAAGATCCTTTTGGTGAAGTACTAACATCTTGTTTTTCACAGGGCAAAAACTGAGGATTAGAGAAGATAAATAACTTATCCACTATCTGGTAAGTGGTATAGTTAATACTGTGAAGAAGCCAGCCTGTACCCACTGGGGACAGCAGGTGGTTCAATTTTCAGAAATTGTGTAAACCATTATTAAAATTTTTAATTATATTAAATTACAAAACAATGGTAATAAATACTCAAAACTCATCACTTCCTAATTATTTTTGCTACTTTTCACTGTTGTCCAAGCTCTTGAGGTTGTGTGTATAATGGACATCTCATATAATGATGTGTTATTGAGCACTCATTCCCATCTCCTCATTGATGACAGCCCATTGGTTCACTAAAATTGGCCATGTTGCGAGTATTATACTACAGGCAAATCCTATAAATCAAGATTTAATTTATTATTTTGCATAGTTCAAGAATCAGCAGGGGATGGTCCATGGACCAAGTTGGTCCCACCTTCTTTCCGTAAAGAAAGGTTTATTAACACAGCCACTCCCCTTTGTTAGGTATCATCTGTGGTTGCTTTCCTGCTAAAATGGTAGAGTTAAGTAATTGTGGCAAAGAATGTATAGTGCAAAAAGTCTGGTCCTTTACAGAAGAAGCTTGTCACTCCAGTCTTGCTCATTAAGGTAAGTGAAAACATAAACCAACATTCATGACTAAACTACTCTTGCACAGTTCAGACATAGACTAAGTAGTCAGACTCTAGAACTCACAATAACCTCTATCCTGCTAAACAGTGGGCAAGCATGTGGAATTTACAAAAAATTTACTGAGGTAAATTTGACCACTTCTGAATCCACTGGCCACGCTTAGCCCAACCCTATACCCTCAGGTTCTAAATGAACCAATTCCAGAATAACTGTACCTTTGGTGAGTGGGATGTCCCAGCCCATTCCCAATACTGTGTCCTTGACCTTCAGTCTTCCTGGTTCCTTCAGGATTTACTACTTCCTGCAAGCATAGGTAGAGTAGGTGTCAGTCATTGCCCTACCAGAGGAGATGGGTATTGAGAGAAGCCAACAAAGTTGCACAGAAACTAAACTAATACAGTACCATGAGCTCTGACTCTGGATTTTCGATGCCAGTCACTGGGCACAGATCAATGGACTGTCCACTTGCTTCCTCCATTTTCTGTTATCCTCAACTGAGAAACAAACACAGGTTCAAAGCTAAAATACTGGTCATTCTAGATTGTGAATTTTCAGAGCCATGTATCCCCAGGAAAAGAAAAAGTAAAACCTTTAAAGGAGGCTTAATTTATTTTCTTAAGAAATAAACACAGTGAAAATTGGAAGCATAATTTTAATATAGTACCTAATGAAATATGGACTCATATTTCTTATTGTGAATACCTAAGGAAAGGGCAATAAGCTAAGAACAGAAAAGCACAGAGCAGGGAGACTTGAAATGAATCAATGATTCACCCAAGGTACCCGGACCTGTACTAAAAATGACCTTATGGAGTCCCTTAAAGGAAGAATCAGAACATGCTCAAGGAGTTAAGACAAAACCTATGAAGCTATCAGCAGCCGCTGCAGCATTAGTTCAATCCCTGGGCAGGGAGCTACCCACATGGCGCAAAAGACCTCTCTTGACTCACCTGCTGCTCCCCTCAGCAGTGTATTTCAGTACATCTGCCTGTTCTACTCCCCACTCTGTCTCTCGTGAATCCTCTCACACACACCCCCGTACTCCTGGCCTGTACCCCAGTTCTTGTATGCATAAATAAATAAATCTAAAAAAAAAGAAAGAAAGAAAGAAAGAGAGAGAGAGAGAGAGAGAGAGAGAGAGAGAGAGAGAAAGAAAGAAAGAAAGAAAGAAAGAAAGAAAGAAAGAAAGAAAGAAAGAAAGAAAGAAAGAAAGAAAGAAAGAAAGAAAGAAAGAAAGAAAGAAAGAAAGAAAGAAAGAAAGAAAGAAACTACTTCTGTTAGCCTAGCGGGAAGCCCCACTAGATTTGATGAGTAAGAAGAAAAAAGAAAAGGAGCCAGAGAGCTGGGAAGACCCCAGGCCACATCATATGCTGAAAAAACAAGCCTCTCACTATAATGCAGTACACAGATTGTTTTTACATCTAAGACAGTGTCTCATTTAAACAAAAAAAAAAACCAAAAAAAAACCTACATTTAGAGTAATCAGTGTGAATGCTCATTATCTCAAAGTTTTAAAACAAAATGAGAGAATCAAGAAACTAAGGAAACTATTTGAGCCTAACTATAAGTAACCCTATTAGACAAACACTCAAATTTATAGTCAAAGCTCATTCTGAGATGACCCTTCACTTTGTAGAAAATCTCCTTCCAATGGAATTTTTTAATTTTTTAATATGATCTCTTCAGCCACTTAAAATACAATTTCACCAATAAACATAAACAGACTTCTGTTGTAAAAATCAGAACCTTCCTATACAGGCACATAACTACTTGAATTTGGTCTAAATATGATCATTTAAGAAACTTGGAAAATCAGGTTCCCCCACCACACACATACACACACATGCACACAGACACAAAACCCTTGCTTACTCCAGTTCGTAGGATTCCATCTGGCTCCTCAGAAAAGGAAAGAAAGAAAAACTCCGCTTTTAGAGACCCTGAGTACAAAAGGGGTGGAGGTGAAAGGTTCACAGGGATTGGCTCCTTTTCCTAGGCCCTCCTACTACCTTCCTTGTAATCACAGCTCTTGGGTTAAATATTTATATGTTTTTCAGACTTATTTCACAGAAAAGAGAAAGGTACGTGCACTCAGAAAACTTATTTTATACTAGGACGGCAAAAGCAAGGAAAAAAAGCAAGATGGTACATGTTTCAATTTCAAATGGCAGCTGGGCGTTGTCTATTAATCCATTCAACAAAAATTTATTAAGTACTCACTGTTGCCCAGGCCCGGCATTGGGTGCTCATTGACACAAAGATCAATGAGACACTGAAGACACATGAAGAACTTACAAATCCATGAGGAAAACAAGGTGTCAAAAGGCTTCATGGAGTTGGTAACAAATGACAAGTCTAGAAAGTCTTAAAAGGTAAGTAGGGGATCAACAATGGAGAAGGGAAAATTGTATTTGCAGAGGGAGAACTCGACCAAAAGCACAGGGGTGAGGCCTTCCCTAACCCCACCTTCTAAGGAGAAACCAAAATTAGCTAAAGAATGGAGGGAAACTTTGGAGAAACTAATAACCAAAATAAAGTAGGGAATTAGTTAAGGAATGAAGGAGGAAGATATGAATGCAATGGAGGTGGTTTAACCAAAAAATAAGAGGCCTCCCTGGTGGGGCTGGCACAAGAGGTTACGTTTCAGCACTATGAAGCTATCAGCAGCCACTGCATCAGGAGTTCGATCCCCCACTGGTAAGTTAACCCACAAGGCACAGCAGACCTCTGGTCTGCTGCTCCCCTCAGCAGTGCATTTCAGTAGATCTGCCTGTTCTGCTCCCCACTCTGTCTCTGCTCAATCCTCTCACCCCCCGCACCTCTGTATGCATAAATAAATCTTTTTTTCAAAAAGTCTGAAAATTTAGTTAAGTGCCACATAGAGGTGGGCCCTACAAAACAGGCTTACTGTCTGGGTTTTTTCAAAACCAAATGGGGAATCAAGAGGTGGATGGGTTGGAAGGATTTGGGGACGGGGAGACCAGCCAGGATACAAAAGCAATGGTTCAATTCTGACAGGGGCCAAAGCATGAGATGGAAGGAAGAAAACAAATGTATAGGACTTGGTGATTGATTGGGCAGGGAGAAAAGGAAAGAAAAGGGGGAAGATAATTCTTCGAAATAGTTCAAACGATCTTGTTTCTCTCCTACTCTGCAGTAATAGTTATTGCAGACACTTACCTGGGAGGGAAGACACCATGATCATGAAGGTGGTTTTCCCAGCTTGAGTCTTAGTCATTGCATTCCGGATGTGCTGACCCCCTGCGATATCCCCAAATATGGGAAACTTGACTTCATAACTTCTGGTGGTGTGGGACTATGATCCTGTTCTCCCCTGGAAAAAAAAAATGTACTGCATATTGTTCTCTAAATGTTCATTATTTTCTTGTGCCTGTGAGACTTTGTGGATTCTATTCCTTCTGACACTAACACCCTGCCCCTATTTATCTATGAAGCAAATCCCTACACCTCCCATATATGTTTTCCAAGACTATTCTCTTCAGTGAAGTTTTCTATAACTATTGACAAAGCTTAAGACCACATCCTCTGGGCTCCTACTACAACATGCTGTTGTAGAACTCTGCAGAACACACAGGTCTTTCAGTGTTCATTGGTCTCCCACTAGACTCTGATCTCAAGCCCAGGCTCTCTATCTTGTCCATCACTGTCTCCTGAAGCTCAGGTCTGCTGGAATATCACACAATCAAGAAATAAGTGTGAAATATGTGGGACAGGAAAGCAAACACAGGATTCAGGCGGATGGGTATGAGTATATAATGACAGCAATCACCAAAATAGGAACATGTTTTTATTTCCCTAGCTTCAAATTCATACACATACACACACACACACACACACACACACACACACACAGAGTAAATATATATATAATGCAAACTAGAGCAACTAGTATCTCTCTGAACCTCTTCTGTCACTCTGCTTTTCCTAATTGCCTTATGCTAACTCATAAGATTATTATGAAAATTTAGTAACTTAACGTATAAAAGGAACTTGAAAAATATAGCTGACCGTATAGTTGTAGACTTCTACTAAAGGTCTTGTAGTAATTCAGGAAAACTACAGATATTTTCAAGCTGATGTCTGACTATTATCTCAAAATTACTATTAAGTTTCTCTTACTCATCCTAGCTCAGGCTTTATCTCTGTTTTTCATTTTTACCTTAAGTATGACCAGTTCTGGGGTCAGACGAGGTATAATGATAGGCAGGGGTCATAGTGTTGAGTCCAGATGAAATGCCAGTGGTCATATCTCTTTTTTCTCTCACACTCCCTCTTTCCTTTCCTGTGGGTATAAAAGAAAATCCATGTTCGTCTTGTAAGTGCAGGCTGCAGCACTCATCTCACTTTTCCAAGAGATCCAAGATTACTTTAAATGCAAGTATTATTGACATAACCCCAACTGTTAAGTCCTGCTTGTACCGCCCTTCGTTAACTTTTGGCTCAGAGACAGGTTTCATTGTTTAAATTTTCCTTTTTGTCTTGCCGCTTATAGTGTGATAAACTCTCTCAAATTACAGATCAGAAGAATAAAGCAATTTACCCAGAGTTAATAGCTGCCTGGTAGTTCAGCCAAATTGATATCCTGGGATCCTTACTCCTACTTCTGTACTATTTCTGGGCTGTGGGGTGAAAGGGAAGTAAGAGATTCCTGTTTCTCTAGCTTTTATAGTCTTTCAAAAGAAATATATCAAAATCTGTGACAGGCAACTGAAACAATACTTATATTAAAAGAAGAAAAATAGTCTGAAGTCAATTAAACTTTCACCTTAAGAAACTAGAAACAAAAGAGTAAATTAAACCAAAGGCCAAGGAAAACAATTAAGAAATCGTGAAAGTAAGAACAGAAGAAACAATAAAGAAAACAAATGAAATGAAAAGTTGATTCTTAAAAAGATCAGTTATATTGATAAGCATCTAGCCAGAATGATGAAGGAAAACAAAAGAAGAAACAAATTACAAATATCAGGAATAAAAGAAGAGAACACTACAGTTTCTACACATGTTAAATAGATAATACATAGGGCCTCCCTAGTGGCGCAAGCAGTTGAATGCCGTACTGTGAAGCTGTCTGCAGCCTCTGCAGCACAGGTTCGATCCCGGCCGGCCAGCGAGACTCCCACGTGGTGTGGCAGACCTCTCCTGTCTCACCCACTGCTCCCCTCAGCAGTATACTTCAGCCTTCTGCCTGTTCTGTTCCCCACTGTCTCTGGTGAATGCTCTTACCCTCCCGCGCATATGGCCTATACCCCGTTCTTGTATAAATAAATATTAAAAATAAATAGATAGATAAATAGATAGATAGATAATACATAGATAATACAAATAATAAATATAGCTGTACTGCCACAAATTCAACAATTTAGATGAAACAGACAAGTTTTATGAGGCACAAAACTGCCAATGCTCACTTCAGAAGAAATAACCAGAGTAACCCTATGTCTATTAAAGACTTTATATGTACTTCCAACAAACAATACTCCAATCCAGACGTCTTAAAATACTCAAATCTACCAAATATTTAAGGTAGAATAATGACAATTTTCATAAACTCTTTTAAAATACATAAGAGGTGGGAACACTGATGACTCATTTAGGAAACAGCAATATACTAATACAACAACCAGATAGCAACGTACATAAAAAGAAAAACTGTTGGTCAATTTCCCACTTGAACATATATGAAAGAAAATCCTCAACAAAATACTAACAAATCAAATGCAGCAATGCATAAAATGGGTAATATATAATAACTAAGCCTTTATCCCAGGAAGGAAGGCTGTTCAACATTTGAAAAGCAATGCAATTTACTGCATCAATAAACTAAAAAGGAAAAGTGATATTATTATTATTCCCACAGATGCGGCAAAAAGTATTTAACAGTCTATATCTTTTATGACAAAACCAACAACTTTTAGCCACTACGAATAGAAGCAACTTCTTCAACTTAATGAAGGACAGCAAAAAAAAAAAATCCCTATAATAAATATCATTATAAAAACTAAATGTTTTCTTTTTTTTTATTTTTTTTTTTTTAATAAATTTTATTGTTATATTCCCCATACAATTGCAGCCCCCCCATTCTGACCCCAATCCCTCCCCTCCCACCCCCGCCCCCCTAAAAGTGTCTCTGGTTCATAGTTTTTTGTTGATTTTGATTTTCACTTTCTTATAGTTATTCATTTTCCTGGTCCCTTATTTAAGTTTTCTAGATTCCTGCTATGAGTGAGACCATCCGGTATTTTTCTTTTTCTTTTTGGCTTATTTCGCTGAGCATGATCCCTTCCAGCGCCATCCATGTTGCTGCAAATTGCATGTGTTTATCTTTTTTGAATGCTGAGTAATATTCCATGGTATATATGTACCACATCTTCTTGATCCAGTCATCTATTTTTGGGCATTGGGTTGTTTCCAAAGCTTAGCTATTGTAAACAGTGCTGCTATAAACATAGGGGTGCAGGTGTTCTTTGGAATTGATGTTTCTGTGTCCTTTGGGTAAATACCTAGGAGTGGAATTGCTGGATCATATGGAAGCTCTATGTTTAGTAGGTCCAGAAATCTCCATACAGCTTTCCACAGTGGTTGGACCAGTTTGCACTCCCACCAACAGTGCAGAAGAGTTCCTTTTTCTCCACACCCTCGCCAACATTTGTTGTTGCTAGTTTTTTTAATATGTGCCATTCTCACTGGTGTAAGATGGTATCTCATGGTAGTTTTGATTTGCATTTCCCTGATGACAAGTGATGTTGAACATTTTTTCATATGCCTGTTGGCCATTTGCATTTCCTCTTCAGAGAAGTTTCTTTTAAGCTCTTCTGCCCATTTTTTGACTGGATTATTTTCTTTGTTGTTGTTGAGTCTCATCAGCTCTTTGCAGATTTTTGTGATCAGTCCTTTATCATTAGTGTTGGGTGCAAAAATGTTCTCCCAGTTGGTGGGGTTTCTCTTTGTTTTGTTATTGTCTCTTTTGCTGTGCAAAAGCTCTTTAATTTGATGTAGTCCCAGCTGTTTATCTTTGCCTTCACTATCACTGCTTTGGGTGATGTGTCTGTAAAGATGTCTTTGATGTGCAAATCACGTAGTGTTTCGCCTATATTTCCTTCTATATATTTTATGGTTTCAGGTCTTATGTCTAGTTCTTTAATCCATTTTGAGTTGATTTTTGTGTATGGTGTGAGGTGGTGGTCAAGCTTCATTCTTTTGCATGTAGCGACCCAGTTTTCCCAGCACCATTTATTGAACAAACTTTCTTTGCTCCAATGCATATTCTTTGCTCCTTTGTCAAAGATTAGTTGACCATAAATCTGTGGGTTTATTTCTGGATTTTCTATTCGATTCCATTGGTCTGTATGTCTGTTCTTGTTCCAATACCATGCAGTTTTGATGATTATGGCTTTGTAGTATAGTTTGAAGTCTGGGAGTCTGATGCCTCCATTCCCTTCTTTTTTTTTCAGGAGAGCTTTGGATATTCGGGGTTTTTGGTGATTCCATATGAATTTCATCAATAATTGTTCTATTTCTTTGAAGAATGACATTGAAATTTTGATTGGAATAGCATTGAATCTGTATATTGCTTTTGGTAGGATGGCCATTTTAATAATGTTTATTCTTCCAATCCATGAGCAGGGTTGCAACCCTTATTTTGACCCTCAGCCCTCCTTTCCCCGCCCCTCCCCCCCACAGTGTGTCTCTGATTCATAGTTGTTTGTTGATTTTGATGTTTTCTTTCTTATAGTTATTCTTTTTCCTGGTCCCTTATTTAGGTTTTCTAGATTCCTGCTATGAGTGAAACCATCCGGTATTTTTCTTTTTCTTTCTGGCTTATTTTGCTGAGCATGATCCCTTCCAGCTTCATCCATGTTGCTGCAAATTGCATGTAAAACTGAATGTTTTCTCCTAAGGTCAAGAACAAAAATATCTGCTCTGACCACTCCCATTTAACATCATAATGGAGCTCATAGAGAATGCAATAATATAAGAAAAGGCGTAAAAGATATATAGATTAGAAATAAGAAATCAAATTACCCATTCATGAGCAACATGACATTCTACATAGGATAAAAAAAGCTTATTGCAAATAGAAAATAATTGCAAATATGATAATAAACTTGTATCCAAAATATATTTAAAACTTTCAAAACTCAAGAAGAAAAAATAAGCAATATGATAAATGGGCAAACGACTTAAACACTCTTCATCCAAGAAAATATACAGATAGCATATAGACATGAAAAAAGCATACAAAAAGATGTTACATCATTTGTCATCAGGAAAGGCAAATTAAAACCACAATGAGATATCACTACACAACCACCAAAGTGGCTAAAACTAAAAAAAGAAAAAGAAAGGAAGGGGCCTCCCTGGTGGTGCAAGGGGTAAGATGCAACCTAAGAAGCTATCCATAGCCACTGCAGCACAAGTTCAATCCCCAGCCAGGGAGCTACACACATGGCACAACAGACCTCTCCTGACTCGCCTGCTGCTCCCCTCAGCAGTGTATTTCAGTCCATCTGCCTGTTCTGTTCCCCACTGTGTCTCTGGTGAATCATCTCACCCCCCACACCTCTGGCCTGTACCCCAGTTCTTGTATGTGTAAATAAATTTTTAAAAAAATAAAGAAAGGAAAGAGGAAAGGAAGGAAGGAGGGTCAGAAAATGACAATATCATGTACTGATGAGTTTTCGGAGAAATTGGAGGGGTTTGTTTTAATTATTTATTTTTATTTTAACATTTATCATTTTTTTAATTTTTTAAACAATATTTGCTCCCCCACCCACTCAGATTGAGTCCCCACTGAATTTCCTTCCCCAAGGCACCTATGCACCACCCCCGTGCTCCTCCCTCCTTCCCTCTGATCCCTCTCCCTCCTCCTCCCCTCCAGTATGTCTCTGATTTATAATTGTCTGTTTTTGCTTTGTTGTGTTTTGTACTGTTGTTATTTTTTTTTTACACTAATGTCTGACTGGATCAAGAAGATGTGGTATATATACACAATGGAATATTATTCAGCAATCAAAAAGGATAAACTCGTGCCATTCGTAACAATGTGGATAGAGCTAGAAGGAATTATGCTCAGTGAAATAAGCCAGAAGGAAAAAGAAAAATATCAGATGGTTTCACTTATAACAGGAATACAGGGGAACCAAATAAGACATCAGTGTAAAAAAAAAAATAACAGTGGAGTTTTTTTTTTTTAAAGATTTGTTTATGCATATAAGGGGAACTGGGGTGTAAGCCAGAGGTGCAGGTGATTGAGAGGATTCACCATAGAGAGTGGGGAGCAGAACAGGCAGATCCACTGAAATACACTGCTGAGGGGAGCAGCAGGGGAGTCAGGAGAGGTCTGCTGGACCATGTGGGTAGCTCCCTGGCCAGGGATCAAACTCGTGCTGCAGTGGCTGCTGAAAGCTTCATAGTGCTGTAACTTAACCCTTTGCACCACCAGGGAGGTCTGAAACTGGAGTTCTTATATATTGCTGGTAGGAATAATTTTCTACAAAACATGCAATATCAATGTACAAAAATTAACTACATCTCGATGTACTAAAAAGTTAAGTTTCATGAAAAATACTTTATAATAAAAAAATTTCAAATATTTTTTCTGTCTCCCCCATTGATCTTT